CTTTCTTTGTGTTTCTTACTGTGGATTTCTTAGGGTTTGTGGGGAATTGGGAATTTGGAGAGTGGAAGAGTGGAAGGAGTCCCTGCTGCCTGCTGGTGGTTTATTAGGGGAAATGAGAGCATAGCTTAGCTTTAGCTTAAGCTAGGGAACGATGTCGTATGAAGAGGAAAGAGACAGATTCTTTCTATTAAATAAGTCGTTTTAAGGGCAGAGGTGTAAAATGGGTTTAACATTTTCTTAGGAACCGGGGGCTTGATTCTTGAATACTTGGAGGTCTTGACTCTTGAGCCTTGTTCTTTTGACTTGGCACTGGGAAGCTTTATGATTTTTGGGTCAAAATCTAAATTTACTCCCTCCACTCTATCAAAATATTAGATTTAATTATTCAATTTTATTTCTTATATTTCAAAATTTGTTAATATCAATTCAATTATTAACATTATCATCTTTTTTTGATAAAATTATTAAAATGACATTTGACCATATTGATATATTTTTAATTAAATTTATTTGACATTTTTGAAATTTTAGTGATTTGATCCCTATGTTCCATTAAAATGTAAGATTTAATCTATTTACTATAATTCATACAAATCTTTATACTGTCTATATTAGTTAATTTTAATCTAATTTTTATCATTGTCAAGTTTCTTTTGTTAGAGTGATATTAATTAGGTTGGATGTTGTAAAAAGTGTTGTGAACGAGTAAAAAGATATATTAGAGACAATGAAGAGAAAGATTGAAATAACCTTAAAATAAAGTGAAGTAATAATTAAAGAATAAGTGAACAATAAAATAAAGTATTATCATAGTAAAGTAACATTAAAAATGGATAAAAAAATAGGCAAACCTTAGATTGAAACTGAGAGGAACTAAGCAAAAAAGGGTTAGAGAGAGAAATTTTGAATGCAAATATGTTGTACTAACCCTGAAAATCTCTCTGTAAATAAAATTTGAAATTTTTATTTCTAAAACAAAAAGAAAGAGTTATTTAAGAAAAGTTTTAATGCAAATAATGAGTAAAAGATTGTGAAATCCATTATATGAATATTAAAGTAGGGGTTTTATTGTATATAATGAGTAACATTTGAAAATTTTTTATATGATTATTGAAATAACGAGTGTTTTATGATTATTAATAATGTATTATGATTTATTCTCTAGTAGAAGATAAGAGAGAAGAACTATATGTGAAGAGTACACAAAAACAAGATAAGAGAGAAAAGATATATGAGAAAACATATAAAAAAACAAAATAACGGTAAGAGGCATAAACATTTTGTATTTCAAGAAAAGATTAAGAGGAAAATCTCTTAATCCCTTAAGAAAAGAATAAGGGAGTTCTTGGTCTAGGCACTTTCCCAAGGATCTATGGTGGAAGCCAAAGGAAAAGAAGTTTTTTTTTTTTTTTTGTTTTTGGTAAAATAAAAGGAAAAGAAGTTGCCCACCACACTTTCACATTGATCAACAGTTACAGAATATGAACTTCAATGAACTGATGATCCCTAAGGGGCAAGCTCTATTCTTTGTTGCCTTAATTTATCAGACTACAAGTATAATCTTATCTGTTCTCCTTTGCTTTACATTCTTTGTTGTAACTTGTTATTCCATATGTAATTTGTGTTACTATCAATTGATGGACCAGTTTCTCTGCTCCTTTGTTCATGGCCCTGAGTAACATTGCTTCTGTTGCAACTACATTAATGCAACTTAGTCTGAAGTAAAGCAGTTCCTCTGATTGATGATTTTGGAGCTGGCTGCAAGGCTTGTAAGGAGGAAGAGATATCCATTGGATCAATAATATCAGGCATTTAACTAAAAAAGCAGCCCACTAATCAGAATGAGACCTCATTCATGCCCATTGTCCTTCCACTAATTTCCTTGTATCAGTACCTAAATAAAAGGCAAAATTGCAACTAAATTGGTTGCTCATGTACAATGTTTCAGAACACTTCCAAGAGGGGGAAAAACAATCGAGGAGGAGGGAGGAGCAGGATTGACATTATTTGGTAATCAAACAAATGAATAA